CCTAGGGTCCTTCTAGCCTTGACATCTGCACCCTTCGAACCTCTTGAAACATGCTCACTCCATCACCTATCACTGAAGGTAGCTTTCCTTGTGGCAATTACTTCGGCAAGGAGAATTTCAGAACTAGCAGCTCTGTCAGTAAGGAAGGATCTGTGTACCTTTTTCAAAGACAGGGTCGTTCTTAGACCAGACCCGACCTTCATCCCGAAGGTAAATAGCACCTTTCACAGATCTCAGGAACTTACGCTTCCTGATTTCTGTCCAAGACCCAAACATAAGCTAGAACACAGATGGCACAAGCTAGACGTACGGAGAGCACTGTGTTTCTACGTGAAACGCACCTCGGCTTTCCGAAAGACTGAAGCATTATTTGTGTCCTTTCAACCATCAACTATGGGAAAGAAGGTATCTTCTTCCACCATAGGCAGGTGGATCAGAGCCTGCATAGCGCAGGCCTACGTCTCACAGGATTTGCCAGCACCCACTCAGGTGACTGCCCACTCAACTCGGAGCGCAGCCACATCTGCGGCGTGGCTAACGCAAGCTCCGGTGGAAGAGATTTGCAGGGCCGCAACCTGGTCCTCACCTTCGGTTTTCATTCGACACTACCGTTTAGACTCCCTAGCAGCAGCAGACGCGGCTTTTGGCAGAAGAGTTCTTCAACAGGTCGTATCTGCTCAGAGTTCGGTAGCCTAGACATTCCCTCCCAGGGGGACATGAGGGCTTTGGTATGTCCCATCCATTTGGACTCTACAGTCATCCTGCTGGAGAAGGGGCGTTGTCTTACCTGAACGCCTTTTCTCAGCAGGATGATGTAGAGTCCAAGCCCACCCAGAGGATAGGTCTAGGCAGGGATATAATAAAGATATAATAAAGAGCTGCAAGGTTAATTCCAACAAAGTTTCTCGCCTAAGTCAAAACTGGGGTCACGCCCAAAGGAAGGGGTGTGGCCGAAGTTTTTACCCAGTCTGCCAGGCAGGAAGGCCGTCATAGAACCCTTCCATTTGGACTCTACATCATCCTGCTGAGAAAAGGCGTTCAGGTAAGACAACGCCCCTTCCGTGGATCAATTCTAACCTATAGTCTGCCCCTGAGGCATGATCCGAGTTTAGGGCTTTATAAGCATCACAACCCAAGTTCTTGTGTATCTGCATGCTACAGCACAATGCATGTATGAAAGGGCAAAGTTTACATCACAATACAGATAATTCTCAGTTCATGACCATAATTGGGACTGGAACTCTGCTGCTAAACAATGCAGTCGTAAGTGAAAAATCATGTAACCGCATTGACTTGTGATGATAGTTCTGACAGTTCCAGTTGCAATTGTTAAGTGAATCACGCCTGGTTGTTGATGTCACATGACCACAACTTGTGATTTCCTTCTGGCTTCCCCATTGATTTTGCTTGTTGGGAGCTAGCAATGACAGTCACAAATCATGGTTGTAGGATCCTGCAACCATCATAATTATGCGTCAGTTGCCAAGCACCTGAATAACAATCTTATTAACATGGAGTCATTGCAATGGCCACAATTTCGAAGACTGTCCTAAATCTTCATGTTCAGCATTGTTGTAACTTCGAATGGTTGCTGAGCAAGTGGTCACTAAGTAAGGACTAACTGAACTGGCCCCTATGGATGTTCATGCTTTGTAAACGAAGAACTGTCACATATCTATAAGATTAAAAATACACCCTTTTGCGTGCATGACATTTTCTCAGTTGTCTGTCCATTAGATTATTGGAGGTGGGAGCTTCTAAGATACAATAAAAGTTAAAGGTTTCCCTGTCCAGTTGTGTTCGATTCTAGGATGCAGTGCTCATCTCTGTTTTTTGGCCGAGGGAGCCAGCATTGTTTGAAGATATTTTCCGTGGTCATGAGGCCAGCATGGCTATACGCCAAAGACTAGGTAGGCAGGCGTTGGGGCAAGGAACGGGAGCTCACTCCGTTGCACGGTGTTCTGGTTTTGAATGACTGAGCACTTTCCAGCTGACAATAGAAAGAATTAAAAGGCACGTTCCTTTACATCTATGGAAATCCAATTGCACAACTCCATTGTCAAAGCTAGAGTGGACTAATCATGTGCAAGAATTAGGGAACCTTTGCTGAGTGCTGGGAGATGGTAGATATATGATTCAAATGCTGAATAGGAGTAGCAAATTATGTTCCCCTTTCCTGAGCAAACGGGGTGTGGGGGAGCTGATTCATAAATTTTTGTGATGATACTCAGTGCATACCCCTAGGCAGGAGTAAATCTAATAAAAATAATGCCAGTTTTGCTATGTGAGAGGGTTGAGGAGGTATGGGACCCGTGGGAAATCTTGTGAAAATGAAATTGGCTCCAAGATGTTAGTAGTAACAGAAGCAGCTTCCTATAGCTCTGAGTCGCTGAGTGAGAGATGCTGCAGTGCAACCTTCCTCAAACTGCAGATGTGTTGGACTGCTGCTCTCATCATCCTCAGCCAGTGCACCTTTGTTGATCAGGGAAGGGTCTTATCAGAATTGCTCTCCAGCTACTCCCCAGAATAATTGGTTGAAGTAAGCTGGTGTAATAAAATGCAGATTTAGTTTCTTTCCAAAGCTATGAGTGAAAAGGGTTGCACATCTGCGGGCAGATGGCTGAAGATGCATGTTTTTGTTGATTTGCTAGCAAGCAAAACTATCTTCTTCCAGAAGCTCAGACAACATATTTCTCACAAAAACAATCCTAGAGGTATGTTGAGCAGGCAAAGGCAACCGCTTCTAAGCCCTCCACTGAGTTTCTGTGATTGAGGGTGGTTTGAATCCGGATCTCTATCCCCACATTATACTCCAGCACTTTAACTACTGTAACACTCTGGCTGTAGAAGTTATGGTGTGTTAGGATTGTGGTTTCCAACCTTCAGTTGCATGGGCTTTGTTAAAAAAGATGGTGTTGCTGCTTTCAAGTTGCTTCAAGGCCTGGAAGATGCCTGATGTAAATCAAGGAATGGCATCCATCAAAGGAGGATGAATCCTTAGGACAGATGGGGGTGGTGATGTGATCTAAAACAGGGCTCAGAATGTAATCTGCCCATCGGTTGAGTTGTCCCTGTATGGCCAGTGTATCTCAGTAAGCAAAATTTTAAACAGTGAAAGCCCTTCCTTCTGAACTGAACCCAACATCCAGTCTTGCTTTTCTTCAGATGTCTTTCTTCTCTGCCTCTTTTTTCTTAGACAAATGCAGTCCGTTTTCTACAGAGAGGGAGGGAAGTAATTCTCTACTCATGGAGAAAGCTTTCTTTTACCAATCACGTTTTTATCAAAAATAGGGGTATTTTCATGAATTAGAATCCTGTCTCAACCCTGAGCTAGGGAGAGAGATGGTGGTTGGGCTGGCTGGACTCAAAGTTAGATCAGATGACCTCAGAGTTCTCATCCCAGTTCAGGAGGGGAACTCATCAAGGCACACTCCAGATATCTGGATTTAAAAAATTAAATATCCCGTATTTCTGGTAGTACCAGGTTAGTGAAGGTGGTTGTAACAGCAGTCCTTTAGATGCCCCTGGAAACTTTTGAACCTGGGCAAACCATAGATGTTCTTCAACAGGTCAGTCTCCAGTCCTCTTAGTTAACTAGGTAAACCCTCAACCCTTATTTGCCTTGGGCTCGTGTATATTTATCCTGGGGAAGGAGGTCTGCAGGAGGGTTGTGTAGGGTTTCAGATTTGATTGTAGAAAGACACTTCAAAGTCTCCACAGATACCCAGATAGTATCTTTCAGCACCCACTTAAATTATACATGTTTTCACAGGATTACACTACTGTCTGGGTCCCCAATCAAGACTCAACATTAAATCACTTACTTCCAGACTTTCCATGGCTTAATTGATCACCTGCTGTATGTTAGGACTTGACAGAGGTCTCACATACTGTTTTGGCCACACGGATCCAGAAACTGACTGTACAGGAAGACTATAGAATAAAGAAGTTTTGAAATAGGCCACATAGCAGAAGTCTGCACATTTTCTGGTCCTCAGTTTCCTTTTTCACCTCTACAGTTGGAGAGGTGGAACCTGGAAAAGGATGCAGCTGTGTCAGGGAGTTACAGAGAAAGTGTTGCATAAGCATCATGTGTGTTCAGAAGTGTTTTGTTGCCTTTGAATTTAAAGCATCGTGCCTATAAGCCTAAGAGAATTGATTATAGGAATCTGGGGCAAAAATCTGATTGGCAGAAGATCTGACTACAAAAAACGGGGAAAAAAAGATGGTTGGGTGGATCCCTGTGTTGACCTACATTTAACAACTGGGGTTTGTGTTTATGTGTTCATTCCTCTGCTTTTTGACATCTGATCTATATTAATGTCACCTCTCCCTGACTTCTATGGGCCTCAGGAAGCAGTTGGAATTGGGCGTTGGGCAGTGGGTCACCCCTGTCATTAAACAAATGCTGCAGTTGTTAAGTGAATCCATTGTCTGCAATGGACATTTTTGCCAGAAAACAGAAGTAAATATTGTTTTTTTATCAAAATCATCCTAAATTATGGCCTGTGACTGCAGGGCACTACAAACAATCATAAATGTGAGTCAATTGCTGAGTGCCCAAAATGCTATTGTGTGACGTTGGAAATGGCTATCAGAAGTTTGAATTTGGTTCTTAAGTAGCCCCGGGGAGATCCATCGTAAGTTCAACTGGTCACTTAGCATAAATCGAGGACTGTCTTTAGGTTATTACACGTAAGAGAGAAGTTATTCTCATCATTTTCAAAAATTAACTGTGTGCATCTCCCTCTAGTGGACATGGTGGAACTGGACACAGACATGACTAACTTCAATCCTATTTCAGAAGTTTTGTGTTAAGTGTTGTGTTAAGAACTTAATTCTGCACACAATTGATTGTTTTGCAATTGTGTCCTCCTAGGATTGCTAGATTGTTTCCAAGAGTCCTTGTTGTTCAGGATGCAAAGTTGCAATCTGAATCCCTCTGTTGACGTTTAAAGGTATCTGCTCTTTCTTCAATGTTTTATTTCCTTTCATTAAAGCAAATGAAGAAACATCCTTGTCGTCAGTGTGACAAATCATTCAGTTCATCGCACAGTCTTTGCCGTCACAATCGTATCAAGCACAAAGGCATCAGGAAAGTTTACACCTGCTCGTAAGTTCTGCTTTTGAAAGTTTTTGTTTATGTAAGCTGACAAATATTCAGCAGTACCACATAGTACCAAGTCAGGCAACTGTCAAAAGATTTCCCATAGATCTTCAGATTTGCAAAATCTTTGAATAATCATTGTAGGTGTCATTCGTATGATGCTACCCCCCCCCCAGTGGGTCCATCAGATCTTTTATCTTGTAGGCTTACCTCAAAGTCATGGAGAAGGTGAATGTTCATTTTTCATGCATCTTGGTTAGGTATTGATTTCATCTTTGGGTATAATTTGGATTCCACAACACACATTTAATGCTATCTGTTCATAGCCTGCTCTACGTTTTCTTCAGGCACTGCCCAGATTCCAGAAGAACTTTTACTAAGCGATTAATGCTAGAAAAACATATTCAGCTGATGCATGGCATTAAAGAACCTGATGTGAAAGAAATGGCAGAATCCACTAACATGGGAGAAAGTGAAATCAAGGAAGACACGAAGGTGAGCTATCATGTTTCTCATGATGCATCGTTGTGGGTTATAGTTCTGTGGAAGCATATTTTTTTTCTCCTTTATAGCAGCATTCACAGGAAGTCAAAAATCGAAACATTGGTCATAGCAGTGTATCCCTTTTGTATATGGATCATAAAGATAAACTCTAAGGGAGGAAGCTTTTATAGAAGGTAAAGAATAACCAAAAGCTCTAGAAAAGCCATCCTCTCAATTTGTATCTCAGGTCTCATTTGTTGCTTCATTATCTATGATTTGACCTTGTAACTGAGTCCATGGATTAAAAAGGTCCATGGTTCTCCTCCAAGCACAATATACCAAGCACTGAACTGGCCTTTGGGACTTTATGGCTTTTTCAGATTAATCAGAAGGCTACAGAACATGTTGAAATCATATAGTCTGCAGGTAGAAAGGGTTTCCTGTTCAGTACACATTAGATATAGTAAATATCTGCATGATGGTAAATATCTGCATGATGAAACATTTGCCATCTTTTGTGCCTGTTTCCATTTTTCTGGAAACAGGCCAGAGGCAAGCTGTGCTTCGAGAACTAGCTTTGCTAGAAACAGATGTCTCTCAAGTCTACTCCCCAGATATATATGGCATCTCAGGTTTAAAAAGGTTGTTGTGTAGGTCCATCAAAGTCCGTGTAGTTTCCATCTCTCTATAACCTGAAACCTATGCCCTGATCTCAAAGCTTTTGGTACAGGCCAAAGAATTCTTTCAAAACGTTGCCACTGAATTTTCATCTTCAGAAACAGCAAAAAGATTTACAGTAAGTCCATGGGAAGTCATCATATGAGCTGTATCTAATTAAAATTAAATCAAATACAGTTTTATCCCTGGCCCCTTCCATTTGTTTTTGTCCTGACATAGCAGACTCATGGACTGAGGGAAATGTTGCACATCCCTTTTTTAGAAATGTGTGATTGGGGCACATCCTGCTGCTTGTCTGGTACCATTTGTTTATTACCCTTGTAAAGGACACAATCCTACTTTGTAAAGATAGAAAAAGACATTATTGTGTCTAATGAAATGCCTGTCCTCTTAATCCACTATGACTTCCTTCTTAAAGTCACCCTATGGTGGTCACCATCTTCATAATATATGAAAGTTCATTCTATACATTATACTGCAGATTGGACTTCTGTCTCAAGCTCAGACTTCATTTTGCTGACAACAACTCTGTATGAAAGTGACTAGCCATGTTGTACTTTGTCTCTTTAATGGACTTGTTTAATGTTGTTCTCAACTTCTTCAGGTTCCCAGTCCCAAGCGTAAATTAGAGGAGCCCGTGTTGGAATTTAGGCCTCCTCGAGGGGCCATCACCCAGCCGCTGAAGAAGTTGAAAATCAATGTTTTTAAAGTTCACAAATGCGCCGTCTGTGGCTTCACAACCGAGAACCTGCTTCAGTTCCACGAACATATTCCCCAGCACAAATCTGACGGCTCTTCCTATCAGTGCAGGGAATGCGGTCTTTGTTATACGTCCCATGTCTCTTTGTCTAGGCATCTCTTCATTGTCCATAAGCTGAAGGAACCTCAGCCTGTTTCGAAACAGAATGGCTCTGGAGAAGACAATCAGCAGGAGAACAAGCCCAGCCGTGAGGAGGAATCCATGAATCGATCCGCCTCTGACAGGAAATGCAAAGTGTGCGCAAAGACCTTTGAAACAGAAGCTGCCTTAAACACCCATATGAGGACACACGGGATGGCTTTTATTAAATCCAAACGAATGAGTTCAGCTGAAAAATGACCTGCTCCTTTCTTTCATCCCATAAGCATCTTCCAAAAGCAAAAAAAAAAAAAAAAGAGGGGAAAAAAAAGAAATCAACCTTTCTACTTCAGAATGGAGTTGACTTTTTCTTTGGGGGATACAAAAGATTTACCATACCGTAAATTTTAACAATTCTCTCCTAGGCTGTTGCAATAGATTCCGCTCTATTCTATATTTCAATTTATCTTCCTCACCTCATAATCGCTATAGAGATTTATAAGCAGTCATTCGTCATTCACTCCCTGAAAGACAGCATTAAAAAAAGCAGTATTTGAGTCTAAAAGAATCTGTATATATTTAAACAAAAAAATTTCATAGTCTTTGTTACATGTTTGTATTTGTATTTAGTGGGATTTTTTTTTCTGTTTTGTTTGTCTTTCTTGCTTATGTCTTTTCTAACAAATGGATTGTTTCAAAGCAGAATTCTTAAAAGTTGGAGCAATACTTTAGATTTATTAAGCTGCTTCAGAAGTGATCCTTTTCTGAGATTGCCTGAGCAGTTTTGGAAAAATTCCCATGTGTTCCGTTCTCGTACTCCCTTGGGAAGAAGAATCCCAATGAAATACTTCCTTCCCCACCAGCATTACCCCTTTAGAAAACTAGGTCATGTTAACCTAGGAAAAGACAGCCATGGGGTACACATCCTTGGATTCCATTTAACCAGAAATGTTTGCTATTGCCAACATTGTGCTGAAAATCAGCTCACACATTTCTGAATGAAAAGTCAGGAGCATTGTGCGTCTGAGCAATATTGGAAGAGAAGGGTTTTTAAAAAGCAAATAGGGTTTTTTGTTGTTGTTGTTGCAAGTCAAGGAGCAGTTGTAGTTGGACCCACAAATGAATAGCCCAATTCTTATAACTAGGAGGATTAAGGATCCTTTAATATGATCTCTTGCTCAAATATTTCAGGTGTTTTTGGAAAACCTACTCAATTTAAGGATTTCTCTGTAGAGAAAATTCTGAATACAGTATTCAGTCCGTGAGCATTAATCTTCTTTGCAAGAGCTCCATTGGAATGAAAAGGAGTTGAATCAAAGCAGTGCGGGGGGGGGGTTCCCCCAGTGGTGCTGGCAGAGAAGAAAAGTCTTGGAGGACTTTGCTATGTGTTCTTTTAATCATTGTCTGTCTCCATAGTCCTCTGTTGAGCTTTCAGAGGCCTCATTGAATGTTGCAGGACCTTTTAAAGGCCACTTGAAGATGCTTTTCAGTATTTTAAGTTTGTCTTTGTCTGTTACAGTATATAAGATGCAGAATAAGCTTAGTTATTTTAAATGTGTGGTACCTACAGTCAGTCAAGATACAGTTAAGGGGTAAAAGAAAGTCATGTGTCAAGTCAGTCTTCTTGAACTGCAGTTTTTATAGGATGTCAAGCATTCTTTTGTTTGTAGATACGAATTAAATCATAGAGATTTAAACACAAGGAAACAACAGCCAATCTCTGGCCATCAACACACCAATCAACCAATAGGAATTCGCCACATAAACATGATGGATGGAATAGCCCAAAGCAATAATTCTGGTAGAGAGAAGTTCTCTGAGGTAGGGCTCCAGCACTAGTCTGAAAGCTTGGAAGACTAATATCTCTGGTCCCAGTGATTGACCCAGACTGGGTCTTGTGTAGAGATTTGAATTGGGGATCATCTGCATGCAATACTACTGATTTATGGGCTGTCTCATAAAGATTTAATTTAATTGCATATTCAAATATGCACTCATAACTGGGCACCGTAATGATGGAAAATCTCTCCTGTAAGGGTGCTAGCTGACATTGGCCCTCAGTGGCCGTCAGACCTTCTGAAGGATGAGTCCTATTGACCATAGATGGGAAACAGGAATTTAATGATTAGTGTTTATATATATATAGTGTTTACATATATATATACACATACATACATACATACATACATACATACATACATACATATATACCACAAATACTCATCACAGCTGCAAGATCATACATTACTTAATGTCCTGTAGGTTTCTTTCTCTCATAAGAAGTAATGAATGTTAAGATCATAGGATTTGGAGGACCATGAGCCTGAGCATGATTTTCAGATTTCCTAGAATTCAGCTTATAAAATCATAGTCATGACAGCTGTTCTTCTTGGCAAATTTATCCTGTAAGGCAGGGGTCCCCAACCCCTAGACCACAGACCTTCGGAACCAGGCTGTGCAAGCGGCAGGTGTGTGTGCCTGCTGTTTGTGCAAATGGAGGTTCGCACGTGAGCACACTCACCTGCCGCTTTTGTGGAATCATCCTCTCTTCCCCCCGCCCGTCATTGCTGCCAGTCCACAAAGCCGGAAAGGTTTGGGACTACTGCTGTAAGGGACTTGTAAGATCAGCCATGAACTCATGTTTGTGCTTCTAGTGCAGGGGTCCTCAAACTTGGCCACGTTAAGACTTGTGGACTTCAACTCCCAGAATTCCCCAGCCAGCATAGCTGGCTAGGAGTTCTAGGAGTTGAAGTCCACAAGTCTTAACGTGGCCAAGTTTGAGGACCCCTGTTCTAGTGCTTTGTTTTAATATGGTCAGAGGTCAAGGGATATCTTTAGAGCAGGGGCTCCTAAATGTTTTGCCCTCACACCTCCTCTAGTATAATCCGAGTGTGCACATCTCTCAAAATTAAACAAACAATGAAAACAATACAATGAAATTTTGGGGAAATTGGATCTACTGTAGTAACGTACAAGTAAAAGGTTCTTCACATCTCCCCTGGACTCTGTCTGCATCTCCCCAAAAGAGGCACACCTCAAAGATTAGGAAAGCCCTATTTTAAAGTATTGTCTTGGGGGTTAGAGGTCTGTGTGTGGGGGAGGACATATCAGCAATGATGTCTTACAAAATACTTGGCTAGACCAGCAGCCCCCAACCTTTTAGGCACCAGGGACCGGTTCTGGTGGACGGGAAAGGGTGTGGTTTCGTACGCTGCCTGCATCCCACGGATGGGGCTTCACTTCTTTGTGCGGACCGGTTTCTGGCATGCTGTGGACTAGTGACAGTCCATGGACCCGGGGTTGGGGACCCCTGGGCTAGACTATTTCCTAGTGTTTCCGAACCCTTCAATTTTGTGAACCTTTTGTGTACTTTGAGGTTTTTTTGTGTGTGTGTCTTATTGTTTTTGATTTGAATTGGGCCTTTTGCTGCCTTATGAATGTGTATAGATAATTCGAAGCTGTTCAGAGTATTTGAACCTCACATACCCTCCTGCCTTGCTTCTGATCCCTTGGAGGCATTTGGGTTATTGCCACCATGCTTTGAATTTGGAGTAATTCTGGGTAGTTGTTTCCATAGAGGTTAACTTTCTGGATAAAGCTAGCCCTGGCTGAAAATGTCTTCCAGTTTCCTGAAAGTGTTAATCCCCCACGGCAGTATTTCTGCTTTATTCTTAGGCTGATTTGTCATTTCATTTGGTGGTGTTTTCGAGCTTGCATTAAAGTGGCAGAAGTTTCTTCTCCAGTCTCTGACCTCCCATTGGAGGAATGTCCTCCAGATGTCTTCCCTTGGCTTTTATTGCGGCAAATGTGGGAAGTAAGGCAGACTGAGATGGAATGAATGGGTCAATTCACCATGGCCAACTTGCTGCGGGACGATTCAACTATTCAATGTAATCATTTAAACTAATTTTAAAAATATTTTAATTTTTGTCATTCACATTTCATTTTGTCCCTCCTTTGGCATGCTTTCTTTAATGAGCCTGTTCCACTATTTTTTCTACATTAGTGTAACTCTTCCTGTGGAGAGTGAGCCATGTTGAGTTGGCCGCAGTGAGTTGGCCATGGTGAGTTGAAACACTTATACGAACAATTGCAAAAGGATTGAAGCTCACCCAGCTGCTTTGACCAGGATCACTACAAGAATCCTTGTTTGTTTTTCATCAAGCTTAATGAGAACAGTGGGGAAAAATGCAGAAGAAATTTTCAGCATGGCGCTAATTACAAAGAAGGGGATCCAAGATCTTTGGGTCTCTCAATTGACTCTCCCATGATAATATGAGCAAATTTAAGGAATTGCTAAAGTCTGAAAGTCGTGTGATTGCCAAGCCGATGAATGAAATTTTTGCTATTTTAGAATAATGAATTTTTCAGAATATACATTAAATAAATGTTAGTCATAGGATTGTGTGATGCAGGGATCATGTTGCATCATAGAAAGAGAAATAAAAACTATAAAGCACTTGAAATGTAAAAGCTGTTATATAAATAATGATAAATAAATAGTTCTAGCCATCTAGTGGCCTCTGAATTTGGAAAGATTATATAAATTCTTTAAAAAAAGACATTCCAATGTACAGATTATATATACATCATGTAGATTAATTCTAGCTAATATTAGGAATTATAAAGTGCTTTAGATTATTCCAAATGCTTTGTGTATGTTATCTGGACATTTCTTGCATTCCTGTTAGAGATAATTGTTATTATTTCTATTATCCCACTGAGGTGGGAAGCATTGAGTCAGAGCCAGCATCTTGTCTAAGGACACAGGAATTCAGAGTCAAGGTTACATTTGAATCTGGGATTTCTCAATTCTTCCATCATTACAGCATATCAGCTCCTTTACCAATTTGTGCTCCGGATCTCATGGGATGCAAAGCTAATCCTTCCCCAAAAAAGTGTAATCTGCATTTTAGACAGTTCCCGTGTAGGAATTCAGTTCCTAAATATGGTACAGAATATGGTGGACTACAGTGTTTAGACCAGTGTTTCTCAACCTTGACAATTTTAAGGCATGTGGACTTCAACTCCCAGAATTCCACAGCCAGCATTGCTGGCTGTGGAATTCTGGGAGTTGAAGTCCACATGCCTTAAAATTGTCAAGGTTGAGAAACACTGGTTTAGACCAATTGAGGTCACTCTTATAGATTCTTTTTCTTCCTAATGTTTTCCCGCAAGGGCAGAGTCTACTTTTGTTTTCAAACAAGTGTTCATCCAATGGTTGCAACAGAAATTGACTGACCAGCTTGTCTCTCAAAGTTGACATCATAGCTAAGATAGAATGACTGCTCCAAAATCACCCACCCGGCTTTTATGTCTAATGCGAGACTAGAACTCACAA